AAGAAAGAAAGAAAGAAAGAAAGAAAGAAAGAAAGAAAGAAAGAAAGAATGTGGGGAAAACCAGAGCACCCACATGAACACGGGGAGAATATATCTGAACTCCACACAGATATGCCAGCTGACCAACTGAGGCTCGAACCAGCAACCTTCTTGCTGTAAGGTGATCGTGCTCACAGCACACTGCGCCACCATGACACCCACAAGAACAATTATTTTCTCAAAATTGTTTCTCTATTTTCTCTAAGCAACTACTTAATCATTTCTATTTTCAACAAGATGTGTCAAAACAGACATGTCCACACTGAGTCATTGTATAAGACCAACAATAAAAAAATAACTATACTGCTGTGAAGCAGTGCAACATAAATAAAGATGACTAGACATGTTCACCATTCCATGTTTTTATTTAATGTAAATATTCCCGGTGTGAGGCAGAAAAAAAACATGGGATTTATTACACATGGGATTTAAATGCAGCAAATAATGGAAATTCCACCAAACCTTCAGAATAAATGTTTTAAAGCAATATTTTTGACACTCTACCAGTCAAATGCATCACTCTAAAAAATGCTGGGTTCCACACAATTGATTTGTGTTGGGACAACATGAAGGAATTAAGGTAACTTATTAGGTTTTACAAATTTAAGTAGATTGAACATAAAACAAATAAGTCTCCCAAAGAACTCGAAAATTGTGTTGTTGCAGCTCATTTTAAAGAAGCAGTTCAGACAAACATCAATTTTGAGTGTTTTAAGCATTAAGATCCTAATTCATTTGAGTTTTTTTTAGACATCAAGGCTATAATTTTTGGATCAATAATAGATTAAATACTCTGAAAGTTAGTGGTTTAATGGTTAAAATATTTCTGTGATGAACTTTTAGCAGCTGGTATTTCAGTCAATGATTAAGGAATTTTTGTGAAAATGGTGAGAGATTCTTTTAGTGCAGGATTTGCCATCGAATAGAAACAAAACCGTTTATTATAAATATATTTTTGGTGTTAATGTAAATTTAAGATTAATTTAATGCATCCTTACTAAATAGAAACACAAATAAACCCTAACTGAATGATTTATAAAAAAAATCATGTGACAGAAAAAATTAAGTATTTTAGAAATGCTGTTATTTTCAGCTGAAATATACTTCACAAACAACAAATCTTTTGATCAATAATGCAATTAATCATTATATGTGTCTCAAACTATCTGTCATCCAGTTTTAAAGAGCAAAGGTCAGGATGGTCAGACAGGGAAGCTCATTTAGTACTCACTATGGTGCCAAGTGAATGTGTCTGTGTGTTTCTGTGCATACTAAAAAGTGATCACAGCTGACAGCTCCAGCAGAGAGACCAGCGGATTACCAGCGGCTGGCGAGAAAACTGCTAAATCAAACATGTGAAATCCACATCACACTCTTGACTGCCGCAAAAACACAACATATGACAGATCTGAGAGTCTCCATGTTGCTATATCAGACCATATTATAAAGACAAAGTGTTTTGGCACTGCTTAGTTCTTGATAGGAGAAGATGTGAATTCTGAAATGCATTAGTGCACTGCACTGTTACTTTTACTTACGATTAGGATTAGGATTTGAACAAACACCTAGTTTACAGCTTTAATGTTTAGTTTTAACTGTAGTGATTGTGCTACTGGCGTGAATGATAGATGTAAACTCTGGTTTGTTGAGGATAGGTGTGAAGTTTGGAGAACAATCTAAAAGTAGAGTGAACTAAAAGATTATCGAAACTAAATTATCTAGTATTTGACATAATGTTTGTGATATGCTAATTAGTCATTCATACTACTTGACTTTTTTCCTCAAATTTAACCATTTTGAATTTAAAATATGACATCATTTACAGATCTACATGACTCATGTAATTTCTAACTTGAATATGATGACAGAAGAAATGTTTTGCATATTAGGTATAAAAATAAGAGTGAATGTAATTGAAAATATTATTTGCAAGTACTAGAGTTAGATCTAGTTTCATTTTTGAAATAAACTTTTTATTTCTTCATACTTATAAGGCAAAGGTGTTCCCACATTGTTCTAGACATAGTTATGGGCTCATATTAAAAACTTGTTTCTACAATTAATTTGGTACAAGAAGATCCATATACACATTAAAATGGCATCCATTCAATCTGTCTTTAATCCACTTATTGATTGGTCTTTGCTTTATTGCATCAATTCATTGATACAGACTGCACATCAGTCTTTTTTCTATTCATTTTTATAAAATAATAATAATAATAATAATAATAATAATAATAATAATAATAATAATAATAATAATAATAATAATTCATTCATTTTCTTTTTGGTTTAGTCCCTTTATTAATCAGGGGTCGCCACGGCAGAATGACCGCCAACTTATCCAGCCATTTTACGCAGCGGATGCTCTTCCAGCTGCAAGCCAACACGATATTCACACAGATACACTACGGCCAATTTAGCTCATTCAAGTAACTTGTATGTCTTTGGACTGTTTGGCAAACCAGAGCACCCACAAACAAGGGGAGAACATGCAAACTCCACACAGAAATGCCAGCTGACCCAGCCGGGGCTCGAACCAGTGACCTTCTTGCTGTGAGGCGATTGTGCTACCCACTGCGCCACCGTGCTGCCCGTAATAATAATATAAATAGTAATAATAAACATATTTCAAGCTGGGCTTTGCAATATCCAGAATTGAGAATTGGGGAGGATTTTTAACTCTTTGTAGAGCACTTGTTGAAATACTTAATGGAGTGTTACTGGGGTCATAACAAGACTACTGAACTCTAATGACTCTATGATGAATAATATAGTTTGTAATGTATATTTACCATCAAGAATTAAACTGCATTTCTGTTTCTTAAACTAGAATTTAAAGAATACAGAGCCATTTTAATTGATATAACTGCTATATGTGCATTTTTATTTATATTCAAATGACAGCTTCATAAACCTTTGTCTGAAAGTGGATAATATTTAAAACCTGATAATTATTCAAATACCATTTTATGATGACAATTTTAAAATGATTTTAATAATTCACTTAACATACATTTTATGGAATGAGTTTCTTTAGTACATTTTGATCTTTCAAATAAAATTCTAATTTCAAATGATCTTCATGTGAGGCCTGGTCAGTTTAATTCAAATCCACACTCTCGAGTTCCTGAATTCAGACTGTAGCCAAATTTTAGGCATGGTATCTCCATCAGAACATGCAGTCAGGAAATATATTTGAAAATGTTCTAAAATGTTTCAGGAGTACAATTAGAAAAATGGAATAATTTAGACTCAATAATTTAAATGACAAATCAAAATTCTCACTGGTTTGGTAACAGGACAAGACCTACTTAAGTACATCCAAAAAGGACCACTGGGTGAACATGAAGTTTACATAATACAAACACATTTTTACAAAAGTGATTTAATTTACAAATTAAACCTAAAGTCTTTAAGTAAAAATATAAGCGTCTTAATGTTTCGAATTACTTTTGTGAGAACAAATTGTCAAAATATCATTGCTGTTGTAATTATAAGACATTGTAATTAAATATATGATAGTTATTATCATTTGCTCAGAAAGTAAAATAAAAATGAGCAGGTCATATTTTAAAGTACAGAAAGTAAAAACGTGTCATTTTTGATGTTTAAAATCCCTTTTCCATTGTTGACCAATGTCAACGCAAGGCATTGGCCGGTATAGGATTCTGACCTTGGATAAAAATATCACAGTTTCACGGTATTGTGATTTCTGCTCAAAAATAAATGCTTTTTAAATTTCAGCTTAAACAAAAAAAAACATTTAAAATATTTTAAACATGTCTGGCAAAATAATTAAAAAGAATCGTTGACTTCTGTTGTCTTCATTTATTTAAAAAAAACACATTTTTTTTTACAATTTAAAACAGCATCTAAGGATTTTCTACTTGAGCTACTGATGTCCTAATAAATTAATAAAATGAGTTAATAAAAAACCTTACACATAGCTTATAAACAGTATAGCAGAAAATTTTGCCAGTTTTAAAACCTTGACTCTTCCAAACCACAGTATACCTTGAAAACAGTTATCGTCCCATGCCTAGTAAACGCTATCTCACGGCAATTGGTAACTTTTTGATTTAGTAGCTCATACTATTCAGTATTTACAATTTGCTCATCCCCAATGACGGTTGGATTAGGGGCGGGGTTTGGTGTCACATTTTCAGAAGACTGAACTCTTTGTATGAATTATGAATTTGCCACTAAACTGACAAAATGTAAAATAGTCCTGTTTCCTTGTGAGATCAATTTACAGTTAGGGTTAAGCCATTCAGTTAAATATAATTTTCTTAATTCATGTCAATCCAAATGTAATAAAGACTGATGGTAACACTGAAAAAAGAAATACTAAATGAGTATACTAGCATTAGTAGCTGAAAAGTACTGAAGGTGGTGATTTTAACCAGCCCTTGCCTGTTTGTATGTGTTATCCATCAGGCAGTCAACAAACCAGTCGCCATAAACCATCATAAATAAAAAATGGCAAACACAACTTTAAAAAATGCTGAAGCAACATGATGGAAAAGTATATATACTATACAGTATATCAAAAAGAAATGCCAATGACCCTGAAGAGGCTGAAATATATGTACCAGTGTCTTTCACTTCTATTTATAGCAGCAATTTCTTTTCCAATACAACACTGCCCAGCTCCTGCTCAAGGCTGTGTATCAGTTTACATAAGAATGAGTCATTTTCATCCTCACTTCAGAAGCTTTCTTGCTTGCTTTGGCATTTAAATCAGACTTGTTTTGCAACAATAACAACAACAACAAATCTGAAATATCATTATAAGATAGTATACTAACTTACAACTTGACTTCAATATAAAAAGTAACCCTAAAGAAAATCTCCACCAAAGCCATCTGAATCCATTATTTTTAAGGAAACCCATCATCAGCGTAACTCTAATTGCTGAAAACTCTGTGTTAAATGTGTTTAGATTCTCTTGTACTTACCTCATTGTCTTTACTCTTGTCTCTTTTTTTCCGGCTGGAGCCATTGACAGTCTCCTTGGCAATGGGTACAACCGATATCTGATGCACAGGCATGCTAGCAGTGCCCAGAAACAGCCCAACAATTCACTCACATCATCCCGAGGGTCGGCATGAAAACAAATACGACCCTCCTGCAGACGCACGCATCAAATCCGGTTAAGCATCCTGGCTGAGATCTCACACTTTAGCTGCAACAGAGAGAAACATCCGGAAGATCTGCTTGTCACATCCCAGAATAAAAGCTTAAGGCTAGCTCTCTCTCCCTCTCTCTCTCTCTCGTTCTACCTGTGTGATCTGTGACTGAGAGAGAGAGCGACAGACAGAAAGAAAGATCGAGCTCATTTAAATTCTACTCTACCTGAGAGCTGCAGGGAAGCTTCAGTTTGTGGAGTGTATGCATCTGCTAACGTGACCTGTAAACATGTTGCTGAGAAGACTTAGAGGTTATTTTAGCAGCAAATCTCCTCCCTTCAGGAGCAACATGGGACGGAGCGGTCAGCTAATCAGCTTACAACCCCAGGGGCTGCACAACACAACCTCAGTTACTTCAACACACACACACACACACACACATACACAAAGGCTGTTAAAGAAACAACCCACTTTTTTGAGGTTGAAAATAGGCTCATTTTACAATTAATCTAGAGTTAAACTAGTAAAGATTTGTTTTTACGATTTTGAATCCATTCAGCCGATCTCTGGGTCTTGCGGGAGAGGTTTTAGCTTAGCATAAATGATGGAATTGGATTAGACCATTAGCATTTCACTTAAAAAACAAAAACAAAAAAAGAGGTTTGATCATTTTCCCAAATTTTCTTGACTTTTTTGTGGTTACATTGTCATTCATTCATTCATTCATTTTCTTGTCGGCTTAGTCCCTTTATTAATCCGGGGTCGCCACCGCGGAATGAACCGCCAACTTATCCAGCAAGTTTTTACCCAGTGGATGCTGCAACCCATCTCTGGGAAAGTGGTTACGTTGTCTACTATATAAAAAATGCCAGGTTTCACACAATTACTTCATGTTGTTCCGACACAAATCATTGATATTAGCTTAATCTTTTTCTTATTTAAGTTGATTAAACATGAAACAATTAAGTTGTCCCAAAAAAAACTTAAGAATTGTGTTGTTTCAACTCATTATAAATAAATAGTTTGAACAAGCAGCAAAAGTTTTATTTTTGTGTAAAAAATTTTATTTTTGTGTAAAGCTGATTAAATATGAAAAAATGTGATTTTCTAGGTCGATGTGGCTGGGTACCCTATCGACCTTGGTTATTACAAATATCATGTAATAATTAAGTAACTTTACTACTGTACCATCACTGCAGCAGGTGCATGGTATTACACAGCAACTGAAAATCCAGCCATCACCAGGTGAAAGTGCCATGTAATATCAGTGCGCCTGCTACAGCCATGGTGCAGCAGCAAATTTCCTTGATAGTTACGTCAGAATGCGAGTATATATAAACCTAGAAAATGGCAACATTTCATTCCATCGGTCTTAGTACATGATATAACTAAAGAAGAATTCAATTAGAGACTTTAACGTGCTGGATTATTCCTTCTTTCTGTTTTTTATATAAGCATGCCTATTCTGTCTACAAAATGCTGTAAAAATTGTCAACATTTTGAAATTACGTAAAGCCATAATTCCCAAGTTTCTGGAATTATGTAGTAGACAAAAAATGGAAAGCATACAACCGTGTGGATTAGTTTCTTCAAAGTCATAACTATCGTTTAGATCAAATTTTCTTTTTAGTCAAACCCCATTAGATGTATAAGTATCCACTGAGATTTTCAAGTAATATTTAAAAAATGTAACAGCACATTTGTATGTTCCGCATGTTCCTCCGATGTTGGGTCAAGTGACAGTTTTTACATTTATTCATGTTCATGTTCTATTAACCTTGGCGGTGCACATTATTAAACATTTCTGTACATGTTTCAGAATTAGTCAATGCTAATTTTCCATCTGTTGTCCTTAAAAAAAAATGTCCTTGGAGTTATGTATTTTCAAAGTCTCAAAAAATGCTTTTTTTAAATGCAGTAATACATAGTGGCATCCTCTGTCTAATATAAATCTATCTCATGCAACAAATACAAAAACACATCACAAAATGAAATGTGAAACAGAAATACAGTTACTGAAAATTATAAAGTTCTAGTGAGGACTAACTTAATACTTATTAATCGTGTTTATGTGAACTCTAAATTTATGTATTTACTATGCAGTTCTTTAATTGTTACTGGAATAAACTTCCAGAATGTGTTCTGAATCTGTCACTAAGAACTAAGGCAGTTCTAAGTTCAAAGGGAATTTATCTGATGATGATAATAATAATAAATAATTCCTTACGTTTATACTCTTTTCTCGACACTCAAAGCACTTTACACATTGGGGGAATCTCCTCATCCACCACCAGTGTGCAGCATCCACCCTGGATGACACGAGGGCAGCCATATTGTGCCAGACTGCACACCAGCTGATTGGTGGAGAGGAGAGAGAGTGATGAAGCCAATTATATTATGGGGATGGTTAGGAGGCCATGATGGAAACTTGGCCAGGATGCTGGGGTTAAACCCCTACTCTTTTTCAAAGGACATCCTGGGATTTTTAATGACCACAGAGTCAGGACCTTGGTTTAATGTCTCATCTGAAAAGGGGTGCAAACTGAACAGTAACAGACCACAGGTTGAGTGCCCCATTCTGGCCTCACTAACACCACTTCCAGCAGCAACCTATAGCTTTCCCATGTGGTCTCCCATCCAGGTTCTGACCAGGCACAGCCCTGCTTAACTTCAGTGGGCAACCATGTGAGAGTTGAGCTAGCCGTCATACTAGCAGGGAGTAACCAATAAAGGGTCTTGAATCTAAAATCTATTACATCTAGACCTTAAAGTCATTGGTTTACAATGTTTATTCTGTTAGCGCACATTGTTAGTCTTAATGTGAACAATGAATCTGCACAAGTTTATCCACTGAAAAAAAAATTGTTTTGGTAACCTTTAATCAAAATCTAATCAGTTACTTCCACTCTGGAATGGCAGCTCTTTTCTTATAATGCCAGTTTGAAAAAGGAGAAAAAGGTTTAGCCGCACCCATCTAACCGTAAACAAAAGAGAGGAATAAAATCGCTACTCAATATATAATTATAATCAAAGTCAGCTTCAACTTCTGGTTCACTAATATAGATTTAGACTTCTTTTTTTGGTAATGTTTTTGTCCACCTGCTAAATATTTATTTATGTTGGTGGAAAACCTCAAATGGTGCAAACATCTCATAAAAGTTTTAGAAAATATGCAACTATGCATATGGTCAACCAAATGCATGTTAAAGTTTCGAAGCTCGGGGTTCTCTCCCGGGACAGCATGCCAAACCTGTGAATAGTGTCAAGCAATATCTAAGTGTAAAATTTTCAATTATTATAATCAAACATACTGTTAAATGTCAATAAATATCACCTAATTTTCAAGCAAAAGAAAAAAAAAGCCTTTTAAAAGTGAGTTGATCCAAACAAGTTACTACAATAGAATACACACTTTTTACACACAGTGGAAGGTTTTTTTTTTCATCAGTCTACATAATGCTCAATGTTATGCCTATATGACTCCATAATCAAAACTGATTAGTACACTGTAAAACCCAGCAGTCAACTTTACCAAATGAAATGAGTGTTTGGTAACTCAAAATTTACTGTTAAGGTAATTCTACTCACTTGAAAAGGGTTTTGAACACAGTGTTGAAGGTAATGAGTTAATTAAATACCTCATTACTTCAACTTAAATGGAGTAAGTTCACAGTACTCGTAGAGATTTTTTTTTTACTCAAATGATTTGTAGCGATCGGTTTCCTCAAATGTTTGAGTTGCCTTAACTTATTGGGTTTTACAGTACTCAGTTGGTTTGAGTTCTCTTCATTTTTGGGGTTTTATGTGCTCAAATTGCTTCATTTACTCAAATGGCTTATGGTTTATAGTACTCATTAGGATTAGTTTTTGAATGGTTTGTTGCAATCGGTTTTCTCAAATGTTTGAGTTACCCTAACTTATTGGGTTTTACAGTGTACAAAAAGAAAAAAGTGGGCCTTCTTTTTCATTCACTGCACATAGGAGGAGCCATTTCTCTTTCTTTCTCTCTTAGTTTCTTTTTATTACATGAAGGTAAACAGAAACAAAACAAGATGCAAGCCTACCACTAGTGTGACATAATGTCCTTTACTATCTTTTTCACCAAAGCCTCAAGGTTGTTTGCTTTTGTCTGATTTTAATTGGTCTGCTACATTGAAGGCATTTAATTGGCTCAAAACAACACATGTCTCAGATTTATTTATTCTTTCTGCAAGACCTAAACGATCCAAGGTTAGACATAAGCCATTAGGGTTTTTTAGATTTGTCTGAAATAAAAAAAAAGTGTAGACTACTTTTATTTTGATTGCTTATTTGTAGGCTCTTCAATAAATCTGAGCCCATAGAATTCTGCAGTATTTTAACCCATTGTAGTATTGAACATAACACCATTTTTTTCAGAAAACATATTTCTAAAGGTGCCATTGACTTTTATATTCACTGGATGTTGACAACAACCAATTAAATCCCTATATGCCAAATAAACAAATTAATTAGTTTACAAGTGAAGTTATGTGTAATAAAATCAAGCGACAGGCGTAGAAAGGCAGGGAAAGCCCAGACAGCAGCTGAAATCTCTCAGTATAATTCAGCAAACCCTCTGCCGTCATTCATTCATTTTCTTTTTGGCTTAGTCCCTTTATTAATCAGGGGTTGCCACAGCGGAATGAACCACCAACTTATCTAGCACATGTTTTATGCAGCGGATGCCCTTCCAGCAGCAACCTATTACTGGGAAACCCCCATACACTTTTATTCACACACATACACCACAAAACATTTAGCTTACCCAATTCACCTATAGCGCATGTCTTTAGACTTGTAAAGAAAACCAAAGCACCCAGAGGAAACCCACACGAACATGGGGAGAACATGCAAACTCCACATAGAAATGCCAACTGAACTTGAATTTTCATTGTAAATCTTAAATAGAAGTTATTCATTCATTTATTCATTTTCTTTTTGGCTTAGTCTCTTTCTTAATCTGGAGTCACCACAGCTGAATGAACTGCCAACTTATACAGTATATGTTTTACACAGCGGATACCCTTCCAGCTGCAACCCAGTACTAGGAAAAATCCATACACTCTTGCATTTATACTCATACAGTGCGGCCAATTTAGCTTATTCACTTAACCTATACCACATGTATTTAGTGGACACCGAAGCACCCAGAGAAAACCCATACAAACACAGAGAGAACATGCAAACTCCACACAGAAATGTCAACTGACCCAGCCGAGGCTCGAACCAGCTTCCCTCTTGCTGTGATCATGCTATCCACTTTGCCACCAAAATTCAACACAAAAATAGCATAAAATATCTGCAGATTCTGTCTGGCTCTGCTGATTGGTGACTCACAGATGATGTCAAATACACCTGTACATGCTTGATGACATACAGCAAAAGCAAAACATTAAATAATCCATAAAAAAAACTATTGTTTTGTTCATTATACACTCTTATTTTTCTTTTCTATTTTCTTAGCACAAACAATAATATGCTTCTTATGAATATACCAGGGCGAAGCAGTGACGCAGTAGATAGTGCTGTTGCCTCACAGCAAGAAGGTGGCTGGTTTGATCCTCGGCTCAATTGGCGTTTCTGTGTGGAGTTTGCATGTTTTCCTTGTGTTTCATCTGGGTGGTCCGGTATCCCCCATAGTCCAAAGACATGTGGTACAGGTGAATTGGGTGAGCTAAATTGTCTGTAGTGTGTGAATGAGTGTTTGTGGATGTTTCTCAGAAATGGGTTGTGGCTGGAAGGGCATCCGCTGCATGAAAATGTGCTGGAAAGGTTGGTGGTTTGTTCCGCTGTGGTGACCCCAGATTAATAAGGGGACTGAGCTGAGAAGAAAATGAATGAATATACCACACAATCCTGAAAAGCCAGTTCTATTCTAAGACGTTCTATCTTTGGTTTTACATCAGAGGTGTTCAGTTTTTCTCCTGGGAAAGTGATCAAGGTCTTCAGGTTCAATGGAAAGTTGCAGGCAGTTGTGAGAGTAAGGACTGTTCACCCGTGTGTAAGATAATAGCCAATATGTGCTAATTATAACTCTGTAAAAGTCTAGGTAGGACAGGGACATATAATCAGTTCTCATGCACCTGAAGGTGTAGAAACAAATACATGCAGGTACCTGTGAATAAAACAACATAATCAAACTCGAATCTTAGGGTTACAAAATTTAAATAAATGATCAATTTTAAAGTTGAATGTAAGTCAATGGTCAGAAGGTCTGTGATAAATCACATGTCTTGCAATTAATGATGACTTTACTCTTTAGAAGTGTGCTCGCTTTTGCGATTGTTTTAGAATTTCCGATTCAGTTGCCTATGAGAGAAATGACAAGGAATAATAAACGGCAGAAAACGGTCAAACTACTTGCTCTACAAACAAGTGTTTGCATGGTCATACAGACAAAGTAGAGTTATATAATAAGAAATGATCCGTTTGCAACATCTAAGCAGCAAAACGAGCTGTTTTTAATGTCTAAAAATGAATGAAAGTGAATGAGACTGGAAGTCTTGAGCTAAAATGATTCAAATGGCAGCGCCCGCTCGTACGCAGAGAATACGGTGAATATGGACTGCATGTGGAATTAGCTGTAGCAAGGACATTAACACTAAAAAACTGCTTTTACATACAGTAGACACAAAAACAAATCTCCAGACTTTTATACGAGGCAACGCTAGTTATTTTGAGATTGTAAAACTGCAGAATGTTTGAAGAATGTTAGGGGTAGTATTAAGGTAACAGGGCAGAATATGCAGTCTGTGTCATATAAAAATAATTGTCTATGGGATGTCCCCATAAAACATGAAAACCCAATGTGTGTATAGATACTTAGGTAACTTTAACATTCCCCGTTTTCTTATATGTTGTAATAAAATACATATACTGCAGAAAAACAAATAGATGTACATGTGTAAAACAATCTTGCATCCTAGGACAATCTGCAATGCCATGCAAACCCGTTTAGTGTGTCTAATGTTTATGTCGAGTCTAAACTCTGACATTCAAGCTTGGATTTGCATGATCATCATGACCGATCAAGGTGCATTTGTGTCTGGTATCCAGGGTAGAAAGGTGGATAGTTAACCTCATGCAATATGAGCCTCTCATTGTGGTAAACCCTCGTCATATTACACTATCACCTGCATACAGGCAGGAGCACAAGCACTAATAAAATAATGTACAGCGGCAACAACTTCAAAGTGGGTGTCTGTACGCACAACAGAACATGTAAGTAAATGATTTTATACCAATTATGTGTGCCTCGCATTCCAAAATCTGTATGTGTGTGTGTTATAATATCTGTATGGTTTGACAAGCTCAGATGATGTTAGTAATGTTATTTTGATAATACGCTAGTGCTGCTATAGTGTTTCTGCCGCAGCGCTGCATGCTGAGGTATCAGTGAAGGCCTGATTCTGCAGTGTGTTTGTGTTTGTTCGTTCAGCTAAAGCAGATGGCCTCACCCTTCACTGAGATGGAGTGCTACACTATTTTCTTCTCTCTGGTTTTGTTCAGTCTTGTTACACTTCATGGCCTAATACAAGAGAAATGCACGCATACTACAGGTATGAATGATACACGTATAAACAGCATCTCTCTCATTAACACCACTGCTGTCTTAAAAAGTACTACTTTTTTCATTCCATGCATATTACCACAAAGAAACTGAAAAATGCAGTGGCCGAGAGCTTAATCCCATTACAAAACAAATTCAAATAAAAAAATACTTACAAACTGAGAAAACATCTTTATCACTTAAACACACGTGCACACTAATTCTCACAGCACGTGCAAATATAGAAACATGCTGCAAATAGCACAGTCCAAAACAGAAATGTGTCAAAAAGTGAAAGTTATGTTTTCATCTTTTTTTATGTCATTTGGACTAGTTTGAACACTAGAATTATTAAGGAAGTTATTTTGACCGCCTAAAATTTTTGCAATTGAATTGCTTTATTAAAATAAAACAAATATCTTTAATACTTTTCCTAAATATGTGTATATTTTACATTATTTTATAAAACTGCAAAACACAAAAGAGCTATGAGTATTTCTACATTTAACTTCCATAGCTGTCAAAATGACCGCATGCATTTTGGTCTATGCTACTTATCCCTGTGAATTTAAATATGAGTGTCTCAGATGCCTAGCAACTTCATACAGTACAAACTATAGGCTTTATTACCAAAAAGTTCATTTTTTTATGATGATGACTTGATTAAATATCATGACAGACATTCAATCCTTGTGCAGTGTTCAATTGTACTATACCTTTTTGTTATGTTCTGGATGAAAACATCCACTGAAATAAACTGCTGTAAAAATGCATCGGATCAATATTCTTTTTAATTTTTTTGCATAATCAACTCGTTCTGATCAAAACTACTAAATGTTTGTACAAGATTTTTAACTCTTTAATTGCCAAATTTACAAATGTTGTCACTGTTTTGCTGGGAAAAAACACACAAAATGAAGTATTTTCAATATAAATAGTAATTGTGGACTGGGTTTTCTTTTACCTTTTATCACAGTCTTGGACATGTGAACGATTAATAACAACTTTGGTTTTAGATTTTCATTTTTTTCTCCCTAATTTATTGTTGGCTGTTTTTGCCCTATTGACTTCCATTATAACCACATTTGATGGTGCATAAATAAACAGTCTTTGTTTTTGCTTACAACATGTAGTTCTGAGAGCTGAGATGCATATTTTGATAGACACATCAAGGTAAGTGCGCAAAGGTCACTCTCACACACATACACACACTTTAATTTGTGTTAATAACTGTTATACTCCATATGAAATCAAGAAACTAAGATTTTTTGCACAGGTCTCTCTAAGAGTTAATTGTGTTAACTGAGGCTCAACAGTAAAACTTACAATTTTTACCTCTTGCCAAGAGAGAAAGCCATCAATAATCAAAAATGCATGATTATATAGTGTCATGGAAGTAATAATGGAATGGAATAATGGAATAATGGAATCAATGAAGCAAAAACAGCCACCAACAGTAAATTAGGGAGAAAAAAAGAAAATCAATCAAAACAATGCATCAAAGGCAATGTTCTTTCACATGTCCAAGACTTTGGTTAAAGGTAAAAAAATCCAGACCACAATTACTTTTTATATTGAAAATATGTAATTTTGTGTGTTTTTTCACCATATCAGTGACATCATTCATGAATTTGGCAATAAAAGAGTTAAAATCCTGTAATTATCTAAGCAATTTAGTAGTTTTGATCAGGACAGAGGTTGATTAACAGATTTATGCAAAAAAAAAAATTAAAATAATGTTTATTTGATGCATTTTTACAGTGGTTTAATTTCCTGGATGTTTTCATGCAGAACATAACAAAAGGATAGTCAATTTACCCAGAGTGTACTGTTGAGTTCTTTAAAAATGTCAAAGCATTCATGTCAAATATCAGGTCACACTTTACAATAAGGTTCATTAGTTAATGTTAATTAATGCATTTACTAACATGAACAAACAATGAACAATACATCTACAACTGTATTTGTTCATGCTAGTTAACGTTAGTTAATGTAAATACAGTAGTTCATTGTTAGTTCATGTAACTCATGGTGCATTAACTAATGTTAACAAGCATGGACTTGGATGTTAATAATGCTTTAGTAAATGTTCAATAATGATTAGTAAATGCTGTACATGTGTTGTTCATGATTAGTTTATGTTAGTAAATGCATTAAGTAATAAACCTTATTGTAAAGTGTTACCAAATATCATTACACTAAGCTAAATCACAGAAAAGGTTATGGCCCAATTAAGACTCAAAATCACCCCAGAGTGAAAGAAAACATCCCCAACAGCACATAAGGGTTAATCTCTCACATTAAGAGTATCTCAATAGAAGCATTGAATGCATTTACTGTATGACGTGACAATAAACCATCTTATGTGAACAGTCAGAATGATTGTAATTACATGGTAATTCTAGTAGTTATAAAATTCTGGTAATTCCAGTGTTAATGGACATTACAATATGTGCAAACATTTTGAAAATGCATATTAAAAACTTCTTCACACACCTAAGTAGAATTTGCTTATTATCTCATAAGAAACATTTCACTTAAACTACAATGAATTTACAGAATAAATTAATCTGACTTTGTTTTAACATATCACGTGACAGAATAGGCATGATGGGATGGCATTAATGGACAAATCAGCGGACCGACTACATTGTAAAACATCTGAATAGTTGCTTTGATCATTCTAAAATCTTTTGGTTAAAGTCTATCCTCAAAGTGGTTTAGTATTATTATTATTTTTATATTTTTATTATAGCTGCACTCCAAAAGAGTGGTCTCACTCCTCCAAAAGCCACCGTGCGTTCATTGCATATTTATATATATATATATATAAAGTAATTATATAAGAAAAAAGACCCACAGTAGCTTCTAATGTGGCAAACTCAGTTTTTCTTTTTGATATTTGGTGCAAGTTTATCAGGACGGGATTTCGTTTCCATCCAACAAGTCGAAGAAAACAGTGCTTTATTTGCAAAGATTTTATGCAATGTTCCAGTTTTGTGCATAAATCTAACTTGCCTCTCTAAATAGAAACATAGCTTATATATCATCCTGTAACACTCGATAATTAGTGTGCTTCAATGTGTCATTGTTGTTTCTCTATCACTCATATCACTTGACATCACTGACCAAGGAAACGCAGTTATACACTCTCTGGCCACTTTATTATGATTCACACTTTATGACATGGTCATTTATCTTGCTGGAAGTAGCATCAGAAGATTGGTACACTGTGGTCATAAAGGGATGGACATGGTCAGCAACAATACTTAACGATGCTCAATTGGTACTAATGGGCCTAAAGTTTGCCAAGAAAATATCCCCCACACTATTACACCACCACCACCAGTCTAAACCATTGATACAAGGCAGGATGGATCCATGCTTTATGTTGTTGATGCCAAATTCTGACTCTACCATCCTACCATCGCAGCAGAAATCAAGACTCATCAGACCAGGCAATGTTTTTCCAATCCTCTATTGTCCAATTTTGGTAAACCTGTGTGAATTGTAGCCTCAGTTTCCTGTTCTTAGCTGACAGGAGTGACACACTGTGTGGTCTTCTGCTGCTGTAACCCATGCGCTTCAAGGTTTGATGTGTTGTCCATTCAGAGATGCTCTCCTGCATACCTCGGTTATAACAAGTGGTTATTTGAGTTACTGTTGCCTTTCTATCAGTCTGAAACCAGTCTGGCCATTCTCCTCTAACCTCTGGCATCAGCAAGGCATTTACACCCACAGAACTGCTGCTCACTGGATGTTTTCTCTTTTTTGGAACATTTTCTGCAAGCCCTAGAGATGGTTGTGCGTAAAAATCCCAGTAGATCAGGAGATTCTGAAATACTCAGACTAGCCCGTCTGGCACCGATTACTATGCCATGTTCAAAGTCACTTAAATCCTTTTTCTTCCTCATTCTGATGCTCAGTTTAAACTGAAGCAGATCATCTTGACCATGTCTACATGCCTAAATGCACTGAGTTTCTGCCATGTGATTGGCTGATTTAAAATTTGCGTAAAGGAGCAGTTGGACAGTATTAAGTGGCTGGCAAGTGTATGTGCCATTCTATAAGCTCTCCTGCTGACAAACTGAATATTCATTTTAATTTAGCCTGTCTACTGTTTTTGTTTTGTACATGACATCTATGTTTTATCTAGACTGTTTTATGTCGATTGCAGGAAGCTAAATGCCAGATTATTTGATTTTAATTTATTTTGCTATTATACAATCTAATTTAAATCACATCCTGCACAAGCTAATGTACACTTTGCTAGCAGAAATTGGTTGTCAGGTTGTATATTATTCAGCCTGAGATAAAGCAAATAAACACTTTGTTCTATACTTTTTTTCTAAGAAAATGTGGAAATCTGCTAATTTGCTTGTTAAATTTAAGCTATTGGAATTGGTTGTGAAAAATCTTAATCTGTGCATCACTAAATATGTTTCTAGGAAGTTACGTAGTTTATTGTTAGGGCCAGAAAGAATCTGCGGACATTTTTTGCTATTTCTGCAGAAAATTATGCAAAAAATCTGTGGATGTATGCATGATTTGGTAGTATCATAACTACAAACCTAATATATGGAAGAAAAATATTTCTAACTTTTATTGAATGTTTACAATGCAAATCCAACCAGATCCACTTAAACAAAGCAAGTCTTTTGTATAATATATTTACTAATAGACAAAATATTACTTAACAAACTTTACTGAAAATAAATCTTATCAACATTTTATTATTACTGTTATTATATCACAATAATATTACAGAAATTAACTGATGAAAACTGAATAAATAAAATGTACTCTTTTACACATGTAAATAAATAGACTCAATGATGGGCTAAAAATCTGCGGATTTCTGCATGCGCAGATTCCATGTGGGCCTATTCATAGTGACAAAGTTGGCAACTCTAGCTGTGCCTAAAAGTGATCACTTGTTTAGCTGATTCCCTAATAATGTCAGTAAACACTGAAGGAAATAAAGAAATCAGACGCTGACTCTGCTTGCTTCAGAAAGCTGGAGCCTAATTTACAAACAAACAAACTTCATACTATTACAAAAAAAAAGATTTAATTAAAGTAAAAGTGTAATTGTCTGCGTCAATAGCTTAGTGGTTAAGTGAACGGCGACCCAAGTTCCATTCCCGGCTCGAAGTTTTTGCTGATCCTTTTCCTCTCACTATTCTACCCATTCAATCCTGTCTCCCTCTCCAATGTTCTATCAAATAAAAGAAGAAAACCCCTTTTTCCGCTCATAATGAATAAGCCACTAATACAGCTAAAGGGAATTAAGTGAGTGAGTGTAATTTTTGGATATTGATTGATTTGGTTTACAACAAATTCCATAAATAAACTATACATTAGTGTAACCATTGTTGATTTGTGCTAACTATGTTTTTTTGGTTATATATGTGATACAATTTTCATTTTCATAAAGGTAGTGAATGTAGTTTGTAATTCTACATAACTCTGTGTCAATCTTGCAGTTAAATTTGCTATTAATATAAATTTGGCTGTCTGTTGGTTCATTTTTTAATTCATTGATTCATTTTCTTTTCGGCTTAGTCCCTTTATTAATAAGGGGTCGCCACAGCGGAATAAACCACCAACTTATCCAGAATATGTTATTACACAGCGGATGCCCTTCCAGCCGCAACCCAACACTGGGAAACACCCATACACTCTTGCATTCACACACATAGACAACGGACAGTTTAGCTTATTCAATTCAATTGAATTTTTTAAATTACAAAATAATCAAGAAATATGTGATTTCAACATGGCGAAACAATACTCTCACTCACTTATTACTCACTCAATTAAAACACATTTAAAAAAATATTGCGACCACAAATAACATACAATTAAACTGATTTCTCTTCTTTGATAGTTTCAAACTAATGAAAACAAATATGGTAAGAATATATATATTTTAAGAGTATTTAAGAGGATATTTTCTCAACTTTTTTACTAATAAACAAAACCTTAATTTCAGAAGCAAATAAAAGCCCTGAAAACGCATTATTGTAACTTTTGCCCACAAGTTTAGCAAATATGTGTCTTCACACTGAGCATAATAGCGCTAATCTGACAAAACAGGTTCAGCCTGTTTTTAAATGTGACGTGGCATTCTTGGTTTGTTTGATTGTTGAGTTTGTTGCAGTCTTGCTTTGCTTATTTGCTCTGCGTCTTGTTTTAAAGACAATGGAGGTATGAAAGGAAGACTTGAGGAGCCACTGATCGTCTGAGTCCGGTTGATGTCATACACCATGGTCAGTCCCGGATCAGTCCTGACCTGTATTCTGCTGCCTTTATTGCACCTAAAACGTGATCACCTGGACTGGATCCAGCTGCAAACTCAGGTAAACAATAAAGACAGCCTGTGTATGTCTGTACAGCTACCTTAAGGATGAAAAGTGGGTTTTAAACGTTGACGTGGTTTATAGCCGGCAGTAAGGAAGTCGGAAGAAATGGACTTTGATTGCTCTGTGTTGGAAGCTTGTAAAAGTCTCTAACACACAAGCATGCGTTTTATACACTGTGTGTGGTGGAAAAGGAATGAGCAACTGATTGGCTAAAACCCATTGAGAGCAAAATAAGGTATTTATACATATTTCTCTCTTACTACACAATGATAAAGCCCTATAAAAAAGGGCTTCAGATGAATGAATGCAGTAATCTTTTACAAGTCTGTAAAATCTACTCATTTCAGTAAGTGATATATAAGTGAGTGAGATACTAAACTACTGATATTTTCATCAGTATATTTTTAGTTATAGCTTATCTTAACCCTTATGTGCAGTTGGGGATGTTTTCATCCATTCAGGGGTGATTTTGAGTCTTAATTTGGCCACAACTTTTAAACTAAATTAAATGAGTTTGGGTGTCAAATCTTGTTTTGTATTCACATTTTCTGGGAAAATGCTTTACATTATTTTAAAAACTCAACAATACACTCTGGGCAAATTTACTACCCTTTCATTATGTTAGTGGCTGTTTTTGTCCCATTGACTTCCATTATAATTACATTTTTCTCATTTGCTGTTATTCTCCATAGAACTTCATATAAAAGCCAGAAACTTCTTGCCCAGGCCTATCTAAAGGGTTCATCCTGATAACTGATGATCAACAGTAAAAATTAACAAATTGTATTTCTTTCTAACAGGGAAAACCACCAACAATTAAGAATGCATTACTACCATGGCTTTGCAATCAAAATATTTTGTTATAATGAAAGTCAATAGGGCAAAAACCACCACCAACATAATGAAAAGGTAGTCAATTTGAACAACACACAAGGGTTAAATTATTACAACTTTAACTATTTAAATACATTTTAAGTTTTAGTTACAATTATTTTGGTTCACTGGGTTAACAATTTATTTGTTTTTTGTGAATTTTATTTTATTTAACCCTTTAACAGGCATCATAACCACCTGGTTGACCTTTTATGCATAGGTTATCATTATCATTTTAATATTTACTAATATTTTAATATTTAATATTATTATTGTTTATCAGAGTTGTGCCAGCATTATTCAATATAATTTGTGGGCCAAAAATATTTTTAAGGAGTGCACCTTAAAGGCTTAAATATTTAATAATCAATGAACTGTTCTTTGGGTTTTATTTTATGTAATAGTCCTAAATTTGCACTGTAGTAGCTATGATCCTTATGTGATATTATTTTTAAAAACCAAACTTGTCAACATATTGCTCCATCATGGTCCTGCAACATTTATAATTATCATTGTTTATTATTTAACTTGATTCATGAGAAAAAATACATTTACAAAACATTCTTTAATATTTTTGTCTATTGTTTTTACAAAAATTGTACAAAACAACCTGTACATTTGACAGTATACAAATGTAATTTATAAAAATAAATTACATTTTAAACCAGTAAATTCCACAGCCTACAACTGCAATCTTCATACCAATAATATATAATGACAACAAATACAGAAAAACAAAACACTAACAATCAAAACTAAATGATCACAAGATAAACTAAATACTAGCATTGGAGCATTGAAGTCATTCACACAAAAAATGATAACACACACGACAACAAATGCAACAAACATTCACTCAACAATTGGAGCTGTAAAAGTGAAGTGTAACAAGGAATTATGGGAATTTCAGTCTACAGTTATTCTACTTTATAAGATTTCTTGCTTTTTTTCCTCTTAAAACATTATTTTACTGTAGAATTACATAAATCTGTTGGTAAGTTCTTACATAATTTTCCATGTCATTGTTACAAAATATTGTAACAATATACATGTCATTGTTACATATACATGTCATTGTTACAATATTGTTACAAAAAGTTTAATTTCCATGAGAGTATACAGAGACCAATCTTTCTAGAATATTTGATACTGATTAGTCAGCGACACTTTGAATAGAACAATATTGTCATGTAATGACCATTAAACTATTTTAGTGTTGTCCATACCAGTGCAACCTGGTAAACTTGTGTCTCTAATCATAACACAAATCATGTTGTTGAGGTGTAAATGAGAAAATTTTCAGCTTGCAGTGCATTATTGTTTATAGTGTTGCGTTGCGCTAGTGTTTTTTTAATTTTTTTTACTATATCTTTAAATGGATAGTTCACTCAAAAAATGATAATTTTCATTTACTCACTGTGTTAAATCATTTTCTGTATTGTGTTTGGGTGTTTGTGTTGTGTGTGTGCGTAGGAGTGGAAGTGTGTGTGTTATGGATCATCTGTTTTCAGTTTTTGAGTTGGTCTTCATCTTCATTGCCTTCACTATCATGTGCTTATTTGGCCTGGCTGCCATCTACACCTATAATACAGATCATCAAGGTATGTATGCGCTCTGTACTCAAAAACAAATAATAATAATAATAATAGTAATAATAATAATAATAATAATAATAATAATAATAATAATATTATTATTATTATTGTTATTATTAATTTTATTATTATTATTATTATTATTATTATTATTATTATTATTATTATCCAGAACAGTGTTATTATTACAATTTGTTCAATGCTTCCATATATTGAACAATATTTGCTCTTACTGTTTGCACTGTATTATTTTGTATAATGTTATATTTATATTGTAGTGCTGTTGTTTATATGATTAGTTTTTACTAAATATGTAATGCTGCTAGTCTCTGTATTATCTCTCTTAATTAGTCTGTCCTACTAATGAGTAAATAAAAAGCCAGCTAATGTTATGTTTATGTCCCACAGGTGATTGAATTCAGACAGAGCAGATCACATAACAAATCAACTCGAAGAAAATGTCCTCGATAAACAGGCCCGACTCACCAAAAGCTGTTAACCAATGGACAGAAGTGAAATCTGAAATCACATACAGGTTTATATATAGTAGGTGAAAAAAACAGTATGTGACAAAAAGAAGCATGCCTGAATTTAAAATGCGGGAAAAGGGTACAAGGATGACAACATGGCAACTGAATGTCCAGATTATATGTATACCACACTATATTGGCCCTATATAATTGCCATCGATTAACCACCCAGCCAGGTGGCCAGGTGATGTCAGATTGTAGTTTTGGAGACTTTTTGAGCCTAAGATTTTGGGCCATTTGAACCATTGTCCTATAACAGTAGCTGAGGTTTCCTCATCCTGTGTTAATGCATACTTTGAAGAAGTGATGAAAATGCCAAATTTTTTATGAAAAAATCCCTTAATTCGCAAACAAACTTTTTATAAGCTCACTTGAGCTGGCTTTGGACTTGTGTGAAAAAGGTTTAATGCAAATATTGGGAGATGAAAACTCCTTTTTAGAATAAAATGATGTAGCGAACATTAAACCCACATGATTCCATTATGCTTGCCTTGTTTACTGTTAGTTTCTAGGTTACCAATACTACAGTCGGTTGCTCTAAAAACATGATGGAAACACACCTAATTAGGATATGTTTATATTTTTTAACGAAAATTTGAAAAGATTCACTTTAAGTTAGGGTGCAAACCTGGCTAGTGATAAAGTGATTCAACTGATTCATAAGACTTGGAGTTGAGTGTAATTTCTAAATGATTTCCCTAATGTCAGAAACCGGGTATGTCGTGGCATTTTCTGTGTTATTGTTATTTTTATAAGAGCCACTTCCTATTTTGTAAAGCTCAGCAACACTTTTGCTGTAAATCACAGTTCTGTTCTTTGGTCTTCCCCATTGTGCTGAATGACTGAGTGAGTTTGGCCTTTGTGTTACCTCATATTTATAGCCCTGTGAAACAGGAGGTCGTGATTCTAGTCACCCAGGTGTAAAAAAAAGGAAAGGAAAATATCAATGTGAATATACTTAAAAAAATGCTCATATAAATTCATAGCAGTGTAAATAATGGTGGCACACATACATTTAACAGATATATTTGTTGTTCATAAAACAAATGGATCCATTTAATGTTAATGAGCAAAAGATTTCATAGCCAGTTTCATAGCCTTTTTTTTTTTGCTCATATTTCATCTTAAGGGTGCCAATATTAGTGTAATGCACTGTAGAATGCACATTTAAGTGGTTGCCAAGTAATTACTTAATCTCCTCAAGAGAGCATGTGATTTCGGAAGCAGCCAGCCTGTGTATCTGAAGATCTCTGAGACTGAGAATTCCCTCAGCTGTCTCTGATTGGCTTGAATGTATGACCCCGATAGGTAATTAACCAGTGAAAGAAAGGTAAAGAGGATTTATTGAAATTGAAACCCCTCCTCTTTCCCCTCTTAAAGCTGCTTAACATTTGTAATGTAATTTAAAACCTGTTGGGAGTTCTTATGTTACCTGTTCTTACACTTTGGAAGGCAGACTATTGGTGGTGGAAGTCTTTAGCAATAAAAATAGAAAAATGTGTACTACTGAAGGTATTTTGTATATTTATATTACATTGTATATACACAAGTTATTTCCATTAAGTAATACTGTGATTTTTATATGCTTTTGGCTGTATTGTATTTAATTTTCCACTTATAGCTTTGTCACTTTTCTATGTTAAAATAATATAACAGTAATCGAAAATGGTTACTTTCCTTGTGTAATGTCAAGGGAACATTTTATTTCAAAATGGAAATGTATTTTGTTTATTAAAATGTGAAATTAATGTTTTAATGTGTCTTAATATGTAATTTATTCTGCATAATAGTTAGCTATATGTAAAGATTAACCAATAACTTTACTTCTGTACTTATTCGCATATATAAAAGTATAGATCATATTATATATTACTAAATACAATTTCAATGATTAAAGTATTGTTTTAAAAACAGTAACTTTTGGTAAGCTATATAAATTCTTACACAATGATTTTTTTTTTGTCTTCAGTAAATCATTATAAAATGTATGATAGTCCTTGTTTTCTAGACCTAGTCCTATGTATCTAGCCAAATGAAGCTCTAATACAGTATTTACTGTTCAGATGTTTACCCATGGATATATGCATTTTAAAATATTTAAAAACTGCCAAAAAATGTATTTATATTCAACCATGCTGTCTTCAACTTATATTGGCACTGTTCCATTTTTTTTATCTGATAAAAAAATACAAGTGTCTGAGTTGCAATGAATACTATACATAACCATACTTAGGTAAAGTACTTGACTTAATCTCTTGTGGTAATTTTATAATTGCTACTGTAAAACAACATCTGTAGTAATATAAACAAATTACCCAGTACAACAATAAGTTCTCTGTACAGTTGACTACAGTTGAAGTCAGAATTAATAACCCCACTTTGAATTTTCTTTCTTTTTTAATTATTTTCCAAATTAACCTAGTTAAGCCTTTTAATGTCACTTTAAGCTGTATAGAATATCTTAAAAAATATCTAGTCAAATATGATGTACTGTCATCATGGCAACGATAAAATAAATCAGTTATTAGAGATGAGTTATTAAAACTATTATGTTTAGAAATGTGGTGAAAAAAAATCTCTCCATTAAACAGAAACTGGGGGAAAAATAAACAGGGGGCAATAATTCAGGGGATTAATAGTTTTGAATTCAACTGTATATAAATTATACTACAATACACCACATTTTACTGTAATAAGTTAACTAAAATATGCTACAGAATGTATTACAGTTTTGAAATTCACTACAATATGCTTATTTAACAAAGAGTTGTGATACAGTACAACTCTTATAGTATGGATTATAAACACTATAGTCAATTATTTTCTCATGTGGGATGATAGCAGGAAAGTCACTGTATCATAATCTGGCTCTGTTACTGTCCCCTAAAGCAAGGCATTTCACACCACTGTGCTGCAGGACAACTAACCCTGTAATCAGCCTTCTGTAAGCATCCTGGATAAAAAGATCTGCTAACTGCTAACTGTGGATTATGGCCATTGAAGGATTTTAAAAATGACAGAGCATTTCTTTTAATGCAGGCATTCTAGCAGACTCTATGTAGGCTACAAGTTTATCTGACGTAATGCCCCACTCACCTGGATTTGACGATTTTTGAAGATGTGGGCTGAAGGTAAGTTTCCAGTGCTCTGTTTCTTGACCATGAGCAGTTCCAAGTGCAACATTTTTGTGAATTTCGAAAACACACACAGTTCATTTATAAAGTTCTCATACTTGATTCATTCAGTGTTGCACTGAAGATATAAATAAAAATGAGATAATCACGAAATTCCCTTGTCATGTCCGTTGGTGCTGACCGGGGCGCCCTCTATTGGTAAAAAGCGATATGCAAAAAAAGAAAAAGAAAAACATTGACTATTACTGTAACATGAATGAGGCAGGATATTTCACCAGTAAAGAACATTTCCTCACCACTTACTCACACTGAAGTAGTTCTATACTTTTAGGAATTTCTTTTTTTTTATTGCACACAAAACAAGATATTCTGAAGAATGCTTAAAACCCTGCAGCAGCCACTGACTTTCATTGTAGGAACAAAAATGACTACAGAAGTCAGTGGCTGCTGGTTTCCAAAATTCTTCAGTAGATTTCAGTTTGTGTTTAAGAGAAGATAGAAACTCAAGTTTGGAACAAGTGGAGAATAAGTAAATGGTCACAGAATTTATATTGGTTTGCATATCCCTCAGGTTAGTCTAGGTCAGTGGTTCTCAAACTGTGGTACGTGTACCACTAGTGGTACGCAGGCTTCCTTCTAGTGGTACGCGGACGAATGAAATATGTCATGTACATGCTACACACATTTAATCAATCAATAATTAATCAAAAATTATGTATATAATATGCCATATATGACATATAGCCTATATTTCTGAGGTAATCTGCCACGTTTTTTAACTGTGCAGAGTTGTAGCTGCTTTACTGGGCCTACTACGCTACTGTGTTTCAATACTCCTCATTTTGGTGGTACTTGGAGAGACTCTTTTTTTTCTGAGGTGATACTTGGTGAAAAAAGTTTGAGAGCCACTGGTCTAGGTAATTAATTCTATTTTTAACACTAATATTCCTTTATGAATTAAAATATATGCATGTTTCAAAAAATCAGTAAATAATCTGAAAGAAACTAATGTGAAACATGTCTTACTTTCCAAAGAAGGCCTATTTTTCATCCAAATATTCTCACTTTTTGTACTTTTAATTTATCAAATGTCAATTATGGGTGAAATAATATAGAATTTATGTTTGATGTAACACATTTATTTAATTTATATAATGAAAAAATGTATGACCTGTGATCATAGAAAATTGTGTCTATAAATGTTTTGCTGACAAAAGGGTGAGTTAGTGCTTCACTATAATCTTTAAAGGGATAGTTCACCCAGAAATAAAAATTATTTCATCATGTTTTCATCCTCCACTTGTTCTAAACCTTTTTTGAGTTATCACAAGTCAAGATATCTATAAAAAAATATTGGGGAAGAAACGTTCATTACTATCAGTCATTGACTGCTTTTTCCAACATTCATCAAAATATATTGTTTTGTGTTCAACAGAAAAAGGAAATCAATAAAAAGTTTAGATCCACTTGCATTTGAGTAAATGCTGAGAAAATGTTCATTTTTAGGTGAACTTTTCCTTTAAATAAAGTGCTTTATTATGTCATCTAATGATTCTGATGATGCCTGACTAGATTTTTATTTTTTTGACTAACTATTGTTACATTAAAATATGTTTTCATCTTCTGTAAACAAAGACAAAAAAAGAATACTAAACAGGGCACAAACAGGACATGTAAGGGGGGTAAACAACATTAAAAGCTGCATTATATGTTTTGATGTTAAAAGCCAAATGAAATCTCCAGTGTTTATGAAGTAACCTGCACGGGTATGTTGGAGGAAGGGATGGTGGTGGGGGAGTTCGGGTTTCCTGGCAGTAAGCACTTGGAGTTGTAAACTGCAGAAGGGGGTATTGTCTCGCGGTGTATATGTGTGTTTGTGTGTGTGTGTGTGTGTGTGTGTTGTAAAGGGAGGGTGGTAATCTAGTTTTGGAGGAAGAAAGGTTATGGGGAATGAATGCTACTCTTATCTGCTAGTGCAACAGTCAACAAAGCTACGCACTGATAACACTTCCTGTTACACTGAAATAATCATATACAAACGCACTTGGCAGCAACTTTAGCACTCTCACTTTGAACTCAGTGTTGGGCTCAAGGGAAAAGGTATGTTCAATTAAAGAATTTAAACTGTTTTTCAAATGATCTGATTTAATCTTATAATGCAATAAAACTCTACTGCATTCCAAAATTGGATTATTGGATTGGATTTTTTCTGTGTGCAAGGTTTTTTTTCAGATAACACACAGCTGAAGTAGTTCCAGGCAGGTCTTGAACCGCACTACAGCTCCATATAACTTCGCTAAATGATTTCAGTGGATTGATGTGCTGTAATGCGTCAGTTATTCATTGCATACAGTTGAAGAGAAAATTATTAGTCCTCCTGTCTAATTTAAACTCTATTTCAAATATTTCCCAGGTGCTGTTCAACAGAAAAAAAAATCTTTCAACACATTTTTAAACATAAGATATTTATAACTTATTTATAGCAACTGTAAATCTTTTGTCTTTGAATAAATATTCAGCACGGTGGTGCAGTGGGTAGCACTGTCACCTCACAGCAAGAAGGTCGCTGGTTCGAGCCTTGGCTGGGTCAGTTGACTATTCTATGTGGAGTTTGCATGTTCTCCCTGTTTTGGTGTGGGTTTTCTCCTAGTACTCCATTTGTTTTCACCAAGCCATGTCCAAAGAAATGTGGTACAGGTGAATTGGGTAAGCTTGTAGAGTATGTGTGTGAATGAGATTGCATGGGTGTTTCCCAGTGAAGGAGGACGTAGCTTGAAGGGCATCTGCTGTGTAAAACATAAGCTGGATAAGTTGGCGGTTCATTCCGCTGTGGCGACCCCTGATTAATATAGGGACTTAGCCTTTAGGGGCAAATAATATTGACCTCAGCATTTTCAAACAAAAAAAAAATTTCCACCCAAACGAAAAGAAAAAATACATTCTCCAACAGAAAAAGAATTACTTTCTTTAGAACTGTCCTTGCTTTGTTAAACATCACATGATAAATATTTGGAAAATAATTTTATTTCACAGAAGGGTTCATCATTTTCTCTTCACCTGTATGGATAACCTTGATTGTCATGATTCTTTTGTCTTTTCTAAAGTTTGAAAAGAAAAGACAAGCAACACATATAATCAGCATTATTTTGTTATCACTGATTTTATATAGTGGCCAGAATAAATGAGTACAACCAGATAGATTTCTTAGAAAAGAATCCATATGGCTAATAAATTGATACTGGTCATGGGATCCTATACTATGAGATATTTGTGCAAATCTGGTGTATTGGTATTATATAAGATTATTCAGTGTCAAAGCCAAATTCAAAACGGTTAAAACTAAATAATTTATGTTGCAAAAATAAGTGCTCTCAATGAATGTCCTAGGAGAAAACTTAAAATAATATAGTAATTAACAGAAAAAAATCAAGGAGGCCATTTGAAATTTTAGATGTAGTTTATATTATTTGCAATACCTCATTCAAATTCAAATGCATTACATGTAATTTATTTTCCTTAATATATTTTAAAAGAGGAAATTACATCCCCATTATATATTGTCCAATGTAACAGAGAAATGGATACATTTTCGAAGAAGATGGACATTTATTCATTCATTCAT